GAGAAACAGTTTGCTGGAACAAGGTTAGATAAAGAATTTGGAAATAGACAATTCAGTTGATTCTGACCAGGGACAGTTTGCAAGATGCTCATGTATTTAATGACTAATAAGCACTGTATGTATTTGCCAGCCAGGTCCAAATGCAGACTTCATTTAACAAAGCAGCAAGTACTGGCAGACTGTATTTCCAGATAATTTCTCGAGCATGTAGGTGACGCTAGGGAGTCATGAGCTGGCACTAAATCAAACCCTTTTTGGGCAGTCCCATGGCCACTTCCACGGGCGGCTGGCTGGTGGGACAGTTCTGCTGAGTGAGTGTGGCTGAGGGCAGTGGCTCTGCTGTGCCACCAAGGGCTCCACGCCCTTCTAAAACCATCTTTCACCAAATGCAGTGACCCGTGCTGTCGAATCTACAGCTAAAACCATCTTGAGCTAGGTTTCTTTTGTCTGTTAAAGCATACAACTAGAGAAAAACATACTTAAAGGAATTCAGTGCATTTTGAAAAGGATCTGAACCGGTCTGAGTTACAAGCTGGAGAAATAACCAGCTTGAAGTCAACTAAGTTTGCCTCAGTTTCAAATGCTGTCCAAGCCTGTAGTGACAGGCTCCCAGCCCTGGGTTTTATTCATGCAAGTTTACCTTTGCAGCTCTCATGGTTCTTCGGTTTAATCAGGCTTTGATTTTCTTCTTTGCTACTTCATGAAAACTGCGTGTATAGCCGCCCTGGCAGGCGGCATTATGGAAGACAGAAAAACCAGCAGCAAAGCCTCTAAGCTTTTCACCATCATGTCAAAACAAAACAAGAATGGTCACAAATTTTCCAGGAAGGCAGCAGCAGGGGTAAGAGGAGAGCTCGCTGATCTGTACGTGCACTTTCCTTCAAAGCACGGTCCAAGCTCTGCTCCCGCTTCCCACCCATGCAACGGGCAGGGAAACCTTCCAGTTGTCGTGGTGCTTCAGAGAAGGCCTTTGGGACAAATTCTGTTACTTCAGAGCTGTGACACTCATCAGTGATCACCTTGGACAGTGGCTTCCAGCTAAGCTCGGACACCTCAGCAAGGTTGAAGGCAGAAGAACAAGCCCATGGGTGAAGAGCAATGAGTCCATATGTGCTCTGGACAATCAAACCCGTGGAAAACATCTACACTGTGTCTTCATCTATACTGCAAACTCTGAGTGGTTCCTGCATGGGAGGAGGGGGAAAGAGAGAAAGTCTGCTCTAGAGTGCTGCATGCGGCCCAAAAAGGGTGTCTGTACACGAGGGGTTTGCTGTCGTCTAGCTCTAAGCCCGTGCATCTACTGCTGAAGACTAGCCAGGTGGTGTGGTGCTCCCTGGACACCAGCAAGCAGGGAAGAAGAGGTTGGGCAGTGGTGGGAGTGTGCTGCCACCTTTATCAGAGTGGGCAGCTGGGCATCAGCAGGGCTCAGCTTCTGGCTCGGGCTTGGTGGCAGGAAGTGCCAAAGGTTTCTCCTCGAGTGTGATTTCTATCACAGCTCCGGACCGCTTGCGGGGTTCAGGGCTCTCCTCTGACCACCTCCCCACCCTGCGCACCCCTCTGGCCACTTTAGGTGCATACATAGATCACCAGCTTCAGTCCCAGGAGGTGAGCCAGGCTGGGGAAGAACCGGATGGAGTTGCGATCCACGTCGATGACCTCTAGAAAGGGCATGTCCAGAAGCACGGGGGGGAACTCGGAGAGCAGGTTCCCCGAGAGCCAGATGGTGCGCAGCTCCTGCAGGCACCGCAGCTGGGCGGGGAGCGTGCGCAGCGCGTTCGACCCCGCGTGCAGGGTCTTGAGCAGCCGGAGCTCGCACACCACCTCGGGCAGGCACTGTAGGCAGTTGGACTCGATCCAGAGGGTCTTGAGGTTCTGCAGGCGCCGGAGCTCGAGGGGCAGGCTGCAGAGCTTGTTGTTGCCCAGGTAGAGGATGCACAGCTGCTTCAGCAAGCACACGACCGGGGGCAGTGCTTTGAAGTTGTTGAAGTCCAGTGCCAGGATCTGCAGGTTTTGCAGCTGCTCCAGCTCAGGGGGCAGATGGTTCAGGTTATTGTCACTCAGGTACAGCTTGACCAGTTCCCTAAAAGAGCAAATGTGCAGAGGCAGCCGCCTCAGCTGCCTGCCGCTCAGATCCACCATTTTATCCACTGGCATTTCTTCCAGGTCTTCCAGGAGGTACTTCTGGCACTTGCTGGAGGGCACAAAAGCAACTATGGCTTTCAGACTGTTGCCCATCCTGAGACTTTCTTTGTTTGGGAATCACTGGAACTCCAAGGGACAGGGGCCCTCCTTGGTCTTCTCCTGCTGTGCACTGGCCTGCCGGTAACTCTGTCTTCTCAATATAAAGCTCTGTTTACATGGCACCAGACATTAATCTCAAGGGCTCTGAAATGTTTCTGATAACCAAATGAGTGTTTGGTGATGGGGATTATGGACAGGATGACTGGGAGTGCAGGTCTCTCTCTCCATCTCTTGCATGCACTCTTGCTCGCCCCTCCCTGAAAACATTCCTTCTCGCCTCTTCCTGCACACTGTGAATGCTCTCTGGTTTTGCCCCAAAACATCACCCCGATGCCCCAGCCCCTTACCTCTCGCTCCAGCTGTGCTCTCTGTGCAGCTGGCGCTGGCTGTGGGGATTGGCTTGAGAAAATAAACACCACGGAAGAACTCATTTTTAAACTCCGGTGTTTAGCTTCCATTAAGTTTTCAACGGAAATGTCGGATGTCATCAAATTGCTGTTTAAAATACCTCTCAAGACTTGAGTGACTTTCCAGATGAGTGGCACTTTTAGGGATTTACTTTGCAAGGTGCCAAATACATAATTTCAGAGTGTAACTTGCCACCCAGTACTTATCTTAGACCTTTATCATAAATACTTGGCAAACTGCTATCTTGAGCTGCTCTACTATTTATATTCCTAATTTAATGGTGTTTACTATAGCCTCTGGCACTCTTGACTGTGTAGGGCCTTTTTCGTTACCGTTATGTTTTGCTTCTTGTCTGAATCCCCATTTAATACGCTCACTATCACAACCTGCCAAGGCGGTTTTCCAGCTGCCTTTTCAACCGTGCTACTGCAGTTCTCGTGTCTTTACCAAAACTTGTCAAGAAACTGCCATGGCTTTAATTCCATCAAGGTTCTCACTTGTAATGAATGAGATAAATACGATGTTAAAAATTATGACTATTTGGATGTGACAGTGTAGCTGTTCCCCTCCTTCTCTCAGCAAGACCCCCTGCTTTTCTGGTCAGGAGCGCCTCTGATTTCTAGGAGAAGCCTTCCCCTGTGCAGGCATCTCTGCGTGTTTTGACTTCTTGAGCTGCTGCTGTTTTAAACTTTCTTGGGGCTTGTGCTACCTGTGTGTTGGCTACTGCTCTACCACAATCTTTGGGTGTGATAGCTGGCAGAATGTTTTAAGGTGAGATAGGCTTTCTGATTTGACAACTATAGCTCCTTGCTGGCATTTTCCACACTTACCTTAATTTAGGAAGGATACTTACTTCAAACAATCTGCAGCCAGTTTCTGGGCTGCACATGAGGTGCTACACAACTGAAATACGTGATTGCTGAGAGCCACATATTCTCGGAAAAACAAAAGCCAGAGCAAACAGAAGATTGAGAAAAAGGCAGTATCAAACAGTTAAAGTGGCCTCTTGATCTCTGGTCAAATCTGGTAATAAAGAGCTCTTTACTGCCACATACTTTCAAATGAAAAACAGCTCTTAGCTATCAACTGAGTACAGTCTCTAGGATGTTCACTAGTCTTTTCTCTGCAAGATGAGTGGCTGTGCCAAGCAGCAGTGATTCTGTGAAACATATGGAAGGTTTCCTGGAGGAGAACAACCAAGAGGGCATCTGGGAACCAGTATTGCAGTAAGAATGGGGAATAGCAAGTGCTGCAACCTGAGTGCCATAAAATAGATTTTGGATGGAGAAGCTGGGCAGAGTGTCAAGCCTGGGGAACAAAGATACATCACAGTCATCTGTGGCTGTGCTGTGGGAGGGAGGAGCTGAAAACATTCTCTCTTATGACAGAAAGTGGGATGTGCTGGGTGTAGCAGCCCAGCAGCAAGAGCCAGTTCACACTGAATGTGCATCTCGGAGTAGCCACGTCTTCACTGCTTTAACACTACGCACCTTGTCAAAGTACCACTGGGGGGAATGTGTGACTC